CAGAGAAAGGAAGTGGCTGGGGGGGGCAGGAATTTTACCCAATTTAGGGACTTAAAAAAAATCCCTAGCTGCTGCTCCTGCAGTGTCAGCTGAAAGGAAGGGAGGGTTTCTGTGCTACTGCACCCCTCCACCCAGATCTGCCCCTCCATACACTTGGAGGAAATATCAGCCATCACTGTGGCTTCATAAGTGGACAGGAGATCTAGAGCATACCCAGGAGAGTTGTCATCCTTCAATGAAAGGAGAAAGAATGGCAAAGACAATGCATTGTCTTGCTTCTCTCTAGCTGCCTTCTCTTGGGACATATTAGTTTCAATAAAATAAATACATTACCCATAATTGCCCACAGATACTCTTTTTTTTTTTTTTTCTTTTTTTTTTTAACATGAGTTGTGAAAGTGAGGGGCCTGACCACCTCTGGTCATGAGATACCTCTTATCCTGGGGTATAAATTGTCCCTTCATTTTCAGTTGTATCTAGTGTCCTTCATCACTTCCTAGCCCGTGCTGTTGCAGTGGAATTGTATGTTTTCAAGCAACTGCAGTGATTCAAGCCAGAGGTCACTTCAGTGCCAAATACCTCTCTACATATAGACTGTGTTTCAGTATATGTGTGGAGGTCTTGGGATTCCATTGGAATGAAAGCTGCTATATAAGTAAGATGAAATTCTCTTGATCTTCCAGTTTTACTTCTCACTGATAGTCATTAATTCCATTGCACTGGGAAACTCCACTGCTGATGTATTCTTCTGCATCTTACTGCTGACTCTGCACAGTAGGCTGACCTAAGTGTTCCACACAGCTGCACCAAACTTACATCTCTGGATCAGACCCAATGTGCACATTGAGTATTTCACTCTGTTTACCTTGGCTTAGTTCAGTCTATTTGATACCTGCATAAATGACTTGGATAACAACACCAGAATGGTTTGTGAGTGACAAATCCCTATATAAATATGCCCACTGAATGTATTGTACTCCAGCACTTAGCAGTATAACTAAGGAAGTTCCCTGAGTAACATTAAGGAGCATTTTTCTCCTTCATGCACTCCACAAGCTAGCTAGACAGCAGGGCAGGAGTGTTTCCTGCTCCTGCTACCTCCCTGAGCTGTGTATGAGCTGTGACTCTTTTCACATAAAGATTCATGTGTGGCTATTTACCCCTTTTCTTGCTAGCAGGTCACCATTACCCTTGAACTTTTCAATCTGTTGCAGTAATATACTACCTCTGGAATGTGTGATAGTAAAATAAATGTGATAGTAAAATGGATGATAATAAAATGATTAGCTAAAAAAATTAATTATTCACATCAACTACTAAGACACACATCTGTGATACACTTTTCAAATAGGATCATTAGAATTTAAAAATACAGGGCCCCCTTGGTTGTTTTTTATATTTTATTTCTTTTGAAGATGGTTGAGTTTCATGCTCTTTATGTAGGTGTTACAGTGCAATATTTTCGTTCCATAGTGCAGGTCAGAGCTCTTCAGTGCATTTCTTGCCAATTCCTGGTATTTATACAAGTAGGAGCATCTGGAACAATCTTGGTAGATTGATAGTATGGTGTGTGTACTTATACCATATTATAAAGTAATGCCCTTAGACGTCTATACTTCTCCTTGACTGTGAGACAGTATAAGTGGTAGGGCCAGGCTGAGCAAATTGTGTGTGTGTGTGTGTGTAGTGTGAGACTCACTGGATTAATTCCAAAGACTTTGTGGTTAAGCCCAGCTACCCTCTGTGTGTATGAATTTAAGAAGATTTATAAGTAAATGAAACCAGTGAGTGGTGAATTAGCATGACACCCTCTTCCCCCATGTAAAGAAAAACAGGCAGATATTAGCTAGAGCTTGAACATTAGTCACAAAAGCTAATGTGGCAAAACTGTTCACATAGGCGAAGGAATAACACTTTTTAGAAGGGTTTACATAGGTAAGTTAGATGTTCCAAAGTGGAAAGGAAATGGCTTTTTATACAATATGAAGCAGTTCCTTCATTGATCTTGGTTTGGATTGTTTTCAGGGTTTGCCTGGGCCCCCTGGAAGCCTAGGAGACAGAGGTCCTATGGGAGAGCCAGTAAGTTGATCTCCATCCTTTCCTAATAATGATTTTCACATTTTGTACTTAATATTTGGTAACTTGGGTTCCACTAGACCGAGGTTTGAAATTTTCAGTGATGAAGTACACATCCTTTAAAAACTATATCTAAACTACACTGGGTCAGATTCTGCAACATAGGGGGCACGTCTATACAAAACACGAAACTGCGCAGTAGTGTAGTTTACTGCAAAGTAAGCATATGTGTCTACGCGTGCACATGCTTACTCTGCATTAAACCTCAATAATCAGGAGTAAATTTTCTACTTGCAAATGCAAGCAGTAAATTTACTTTTGCTTAGTAACAGTGCAGTAGCACTCATGTAGATAACTGACTGGGAGCAAATCTGCTCCTGGTCAGCTATCCACCAGGCAGCAAGAGATTTCTCCCTGCCCCCAGGAGCTGCCTGCTGCTGGGGTAGGCTCTGCCACCGGAACTCAGGTTCCCCCTGGCCCAGCCAGCAGCAAGGAGCTCCAAGCCCCCTTCTCTGGGATAGCAATTGAGGAGTTGGGGCGGGGGGGGGGAGTGGGAGATCCTTATCCCCCAGCACCAGCTCCACAGCCATAGAACTGGGAGATAAGGGTCTCCCAGCACTGGCCCCACTGTCACAGAGCTGGCACTGGGAGATAAAGGTCTCCTAGCTCCAGCCCCATGGTGCAGAGCTGGCACTAGGAGCTGGAGAGGGCTGGGGAGCCTGTTCCCTGCTCGGCTCCACGAGCTCAGAGCTGGGTGGAGAACAAGTTGGGGAGCTCCCACTTCTGCACTCCCCCTCTACAAATTCCCCACCTCGTTCCCCATCCAGCTTCAGGCTGTGGAGCTGATCAGGGAACAAGCTCCCCAGACTGTTCCCCACCTGGCTCCACACTTGGAGAGCTGAGCTGAGAACAAGCTGGGGAGCTCCCCAGCACCATGCTGCGGAGCTGAGTGGGGAACAAGCTCCCCAGCCTGTTCACTGCCCAGCTCCGCGCTTGCAGAACTAAGTGGGGAACAAGCTCCCCAGCCTCTGCCCCGCACGCAGGGCCGGGGCTGAAAACTGCCCTAGTTAGAGGCAGGTCCCAGTCCTGTGCCCCAATCAGGTGATTGAGGCATGGGGCTTGGAAAGAGCTGCAGAGATGGGAAGGTCCCAGCCCCCTGCTCCAATCTGCTGGTGGGGTAGCTAGCAGTAAGCTAGGTGCTAGCTGCCCCACCAATGTATTGGGGCAGGAGGCTGGGACTTGCCTCTCTCCTACAGTTCTTTCCAAGTCCCCTGCCCCTGATCAGTGAGCCAGGGCCAGGAGCTCCCTGCTTCCAGGGTGTTACATCCCAGCCCTGGGCAGGAGACAGCTGTCACCTGGCTCAGCGCTCCCTTCCAGTCCCTGGTCTAGCACCCCGGGGGAGGGGGTGGCTAGAGCTCCCTCTAGTGGCAGCAGGGGCCCACTGCAGGGCCCTAGGAAGCAGGAGCAGTTTGCTGCCATTAGCGGAAATTCCGCTCCCACTTCCCTGCATGAGTAGATGCCTGCCTGGAAGCATTTTCTTGCAAGTAGTTTACTCATGAGTAAACTGATCCCAGATCAAATGCACGTGTAGACATGCCCAGTAAGTATCATACACTTACAGGAGCATTCTCCCCAGTCTCCATGGGATAGCTCTAGTAATAACTAGAAAAATTATGAAAAAGAGTAGCCAAATCTGACTTCACGCTGCATAGAGACAGGCATGGGTATGTTATGTAAATACGATCTCTTAAACATGGATATTAGTGGCTTCCTTGTTATTTTCAAGCAAGTTTTATGGTACTTATTCTGAAATTTTGGAAACAGACAGACTTGGCATGTTCCTGCTCTAACAAAAAGGCAACTGTTATAATAAACCTCAGACATTCTTTCATGTATAGCTTGCTGTTCTGATTTTTGTTATTGAAAAGCTACACATGCTTTAATGTGGCTAATACTGGAACAAAAGCCCATATACAGTTTAAGACTATGAACAATGAGCTGAAAGGTGTAAACCTGACAAGAATGCCGTTACATCATCACCTCTACTGCCAAGGCCTAAGTATATAAATATAATGGAGTAGTGTGTGTTTTCATGGTGGTACACATTATAAGACTGCCATTTTACTATGCAAGAACCTGTCAAGTAAACTTTTGTTCCTTACTTTTTATTACATATGAAAACCTATTTCTCATAGTAAATGATGTAAAATAATATCAACATGCTCTTTTTAAAACTTTATACTGCAATGTATTCTTTCAGGTACTAGGCTGATGCCTATGAATCCATAAACTAATATGAATTCATAAAGGTGGTCTCTGGAAAATTCTTTTGGCCAGAAAAGTAGGAAAATTCCAATTGCTTGCTTCCTGCAAGCAATGAGGAGACAGTTGGCTGATAAAAGCAAACTTTTTTTATCATTGTACAGAAAATTTCCACTAAAAATTATGTATTATTTTCTTGGATTTCCTTTACTGTCTGTTTTATAGATCATCTCTATTCTGTCTAACTTGCCAGCCTAGTCATTTTATATCCTGCTACATACTATAGCATTTAAAAGTTTTTAAAGTTTATAAGTATATACATCTTGCTACTACATTGCTTGTTTAACCTGATTTTCTTATTTATAAAGGGACTGGAATGTTGTTTTAGCTGTGATAGTCTAGGAAATGTCCTAAAGGCAAGGGTCTTTTTGTGATAACTTTTATTGGCAATGATATAAACAGGAGAGAAGTTAGGCAAGCTTATGGGCACAAACTCCTTCCCCATGTGAGATCTGTTTCTCTGGGAGACCTGAAGAAGGGCAGTTTGTGCCCAAAAGCTTGTCTAGCTTCTCCCCCAACTATACAGTTGGTCAAATAAAAGATATCTCAAAACCTCCTCACCTTATTACTTACTTATAAGTAGACTAGCTATCATACTTATCTACTCTAAGCTGTCTACTTTAATTAATCTACATTTCTATTGTGCTCAGCATTGTAGCATCCATGAATGATATGCAGCAGTTAAGAAAAGTATCAGTTGTTCACAGGAATTGATGATTTTTCTTTCTGCGTTACACAGAGTTAAATTATTTTTGTATGTATAGCTCTAAAGAGGAAATACAGTATAACACAAAGCACTGTGAAATAAAATGGTTTTATTTTTCCAATGGATTTATCCAACAGCCTGCTTTCTTTTTCAGTCAATTTGTTATTACATGGAAGAAGGCTGTGAAAGTAGTTTCTATGGCCTTGTCACTGGGTTCTACTGTAAAAATGCAAGGAGTTTAAGTCTTTTCTATTAGGAGAAAAGACTTAAACTATTAGATTTGCTTAACAGAATCAGGCCTAATGTAAAACAAATGATTAGTTTTACCTATATGCCAGGCCTTTTCAGCAAACTCTGTTTTGATTATACTTGAAAGAGGTCCCCATATTATTCAACATGTTCTTACATTTTTTTGGCTTCTGGTGTTCTATGTAAGTCACGAGGGAGTGGTATATTGCCAAGCCATCAGTCTGAGCTCCGTGGGAATAATGTGGAGAAATAGTTGGCTCCTGCATCAGACTTGAGCTTTGGGACAGCGAAGTAGTGAAGTCCATGTAGGTACTACAAGCCAAAACCAAGACAATTATGTTTTGGCCTGGATAGAACCCATAATAGTATATTCGTTGTGGTTTTCAGTGTTTGCTTGTTCTTAACTGAAACTGTTGATCAAGTCAGAGATGCACCTGTTGAACTTTGTCCGACAATAGCCATATGACTGTGGTCCTGGAAGAGAATAAAAGACTGCTGTTATTAACATTAGCAAGTCAACAGGAACAACAACACTATGCGTGTAATCCGTGTACTGACAGATCAAAGGAAAAGCTAGAAAAATGGCTTGAAAGGCTTATAGTACAAACACAGAAACAGCACTTTTACATTGTATCAGAACAGCACAGCACCAGAAATAATTGTTTCCTTTAACACTGAAGAATCTGTTTAAAACAGAACTGTGTCCAATCCATACTCCGTTCATGTCCGGATTTGGGTCTGAACCTTCCCAAGGTGTGGGGATGAGTATGTCTAGGACATGGGTGGCCAACCCACAGCACAGATGCCACAAGTGGAGCTGGCAACCTCTGGGTATAGGTTAGGGAGGGGGCATGCAGCAAAGTGGCAAATAGGACAGGAAGTAGATCAGAGCAACAGACCAGGCAGGGAGGAGACAGCAAAGCAGCAGATTTGGTGGGGAAAAGGGATTGAAATGTCACTTAGGGAGGGTGCTTCATTTGTGGTATGCTTGCTAAAAAGCTTGCTCCCACTGGCCTAGGAGTTTGATTTGTCCTGTTGCAAAATTTAGGACCAGGTGCGAAATTATTAGAGGTAAGGTCCAAGAGATGGCCATACAAATCCCACTTCCTTACAGGATATGGATAACCTCAATTTACATGGAATCCATACACACTGGTTTAGAAATGGATCCCTGAGGTGTTACTGTGATAATTTTATTGCTTACCATATATTGGCCTGCAAGAACACTGCTTCATAGTACGGTTTCTTACTGATTTTGCCAGAAGGCTCCAATCTGCAATCCATTACACCTCAGTGACTATCCTGTGTAAACACTGTTAAATCTATGAAGTGAAATATACAGTAGTTTTCAGTTAAGTGTGTACCAGACTATAGGCTTTTCCATAAACCAACCAGACATGGAGCCAGCTAAGTCTTAATTAAACAAAGTCTTGATTAATCAAGAGAAGACTATTGTTTAAATAAGAACTTGGACTTCTAGTCCAAATGAAGATAGTTCAGTTCTGTCCTTCTAAAATCTATTGCTAGACTATATCTAGAAAGGCAATTATATCTTCAGCACTGTTAAGCACTTGCCCTTGTAGGTACTAACTGCTGTCAAAGAATGTAGAAAGAAAAACAGTGATAAAGCAAAATAAAATCTGCTTATTTCTACCAGCTGTCAGAGTGGTGAAGTGATACAATATATACTCTATCATATTGTATTGCACACCAATCATATGTAGGTTGCATCATACATGTATTACATAAATATTACTGAATTATATACCCAGAATTTTATTTAATGCCAGGGCTCAAGAGGACAACAAGGTGATGCTGGCCCTGTTGGGGAAATGGGATTTGAGGTGAGTTGTTATGCATTGTTATCACTTATCAATATTGACATTTTTATTTCTTTTTATTTATTGTTTTATTTGTTGCTTATAATTTGTATTATTTATCAATAATAATTAACTAACCAAAACAATCTACAGTTTATACCAAAACTCTCTTTGTATTACCTCCAATGAACTTGAATAGCACATGTAATTAAAAGAGTCTGTCATTGCTTCTGCCTGTTGTAAGAAAATTTCGAAAGAGAAAGCTTATTAGATTGCCTGTGGATCCTTCACATCATAGTATCTGCTTCTGGGAGGACAATGATGTATTAGCTGAATGCAGCACTTTCAGAATATATACCGTTCCCTTTGCCATTTTGCAACCTCCCACAGCAGTCCAGAGCTGAGGGGATTGTAACTGGGCTGAAGAGTGAACTCACTCAGAACATATAAGAAATGTTTAGTCAAAGAAATGAAGTTCCATTATTCCGCATAACTAAGAACATAAGTGCTGTGCTGGGTCAGATCAATGATCCATCTAGCCCAGTATTCTGTCTCCAACAGTGGAAGAAATAGATGCTATGGAGGTAGAGCATCAAACCTGATATCTATCCATAGGCGGGGGAAGGCTAGGGCTAAAGGGGCTCAGCACCTCCCCCCCAAACACGGGTCAGCAGGTAGGGCCACAAGACAGGCTCCAGACGGCTGCAGCAGGGGTGGGAAGGGGTATGCACACAGCCAGGATCACAGCCTGGCATCTGAATCACTAGCAGAACAGTAGGGGTTTGGGGGGCAGATCAAGGCCCCCACATTGAGGGAGGAGGTGGGGCAAAGGCAGGGGCTGGGGTGAATGGTGCCCCAGCTGGGCTGGGTTGTGGGACATTCAGAGCCTCGGTGCCTTATCCAGGGGCACAGGAGGGCTCCCCCCCTGCAGCTGCCCCAGGAGTTGCACGATGCCACGTGCCTGCCACCACTGGGCTGTACCGTGTCCCCTGCCCGCCCAGCAGCAGGACACACATGGCATTGTGCCACTCCTGGGGCAGCTGCAGCAGGGCGCAAAGCCCAGTGTACAGCAGCAGCCACCTCTGCCCCACACACAGATGGGGGAGGCACATGCCTCCTGGGCCTCCACTGGGGTGCATGCTGCGCCAGGACCCACCCCTGGACAAGCTGCCCAGGCTCTGATTGTCCCACAACCCAGCTCCTGCCCCTGCCCCACTCCCTCCCTCATCACTGGGACCTTGATCTGCCCCCCCCCATGGCTCCTCCCCTACCCATACCCCTTCCTCCACAGACTTACATGCTGGGTGTGGGGGGAGGGGGCATGTGTGCATGCACACATGCACTCAGCTCCCCCCCCCAAATAATTTTTCTCCCTCTGCCTATGTTTCATAGTTTCATAATAGCTAGGGTCAGGAGGGACCTGAAGAGATCATCTAGCCTGACCCCCTGCCACAGGCGGGGATGGATGCAA